CCCCAAAACCCCAAAACCCCAAAACCCCATCCCCAAAACCCCAAAACCCCAAAACCCCTATTAAAACATCCCAAATAGAAATTTGTAATATTTTTAATTAAGAATAAGAGAAACATGAAGCCATCAACAGACGGAACTGAAAATGAAATGACCATGAATTTATTGTACAAATTCTCTTCCAAGTCAATGGAGAGGGGTGATAAACAAGAATTAGAGAAGCTGTGCTATTCAAAACTCACCTCAAAGTAACGTAAGAAATAAACCTAGTATTCTCAAGTTCAACTTGGAAGCAATCGTGGCTATCTTTACTTTAGCTCTCTCTGTGCTTCCAGAGGTCTTCAATATGGCTATTGTTAGCAATTATGGGTCTCTGGCTCAAGTCGCAGGTATTGGTCTCGGCGTGATGTTCATCAATATGTTTGTGTTCGGAGCGTTTGAAGGTCTCAACGGAGCTATAGACACTTTGGTATCCCAGTACTATGGGGCAAGGGATTATTATGGTTGTAACATAACCCTGAACAGAGCTAGGATGATTAATTCATTCATGTTCATTCCTTGTGCTATAGTGCTGGTTTTATCAAAAGAGATACTGGTCTTTCTAGACCAAGATTTGGAAGTTGCTATTGTAGCTCAAAAGTTCCTCATCTTCCAAATCCCAGGATTGTTTGTCTTCACTCACTTTGACATCGTCAGGAGATACCTTCAAGCGATGGGTCATTTTTAACTTGATTCTAAAAGGAGAGGTGATTGCAGCAGTCTTCCACATTGTTGCCATCTCTCTTACGCTTAGCTTTGTCGAAGGAGATCCGGTTATAATTTGAGCTTTGATTTGCAATTTCACCATGTTTCTTAGTTACATTTGCATCCATTATTTTGCCAAAGAAATTCTTGATGAAGTGAACCAACTGCCTATCTCAGAAGGAGCTTTCCAAGATTGGTGGGGCTATCTTTCACTAGCTCTTCCATGCGCTTTTATTATCTGCTCTGAGTGGTGGATGTATGAGTTCTTGACCATTCTCACCGGGTGGATTGGTGTTAGAGAGCTCGCAACAATCATTATTATTTTTAACACTCATACATTCGTCTATGACTTATCTTATGGACTGTCTCAAGCCACCTGCTCTATCATTGGAAGAACTCTTGCTGAATTTGGTAAAGAAGAAGCCAAAAGAGTTCTGACTTATATTGGAATAATAGAGTTGATCCTGTGCGTCCTGATGACGGCTATATATCTTCTATTTCCAACAAAGATTATCAAAATATTTTCAGATGAAGAAGATATAGTCATGATGTACTCTGAAAGTTTATATTACATCATTATCATGTTTGTGTTCGATTCTCTTCAAATTGTCATTGGAGGAGTCATCAGAGGAATAGGCGAACAAGGAGAATCCTCTATTGTCAGTTTCATTTCATATGGATTAATAACTCTGCCTGCCGCCATTATACTTGCCTTTCCACTCGAGATGGGCATGAAAGGAATCATCTCAGGCTACGTCCTTGGAGTCATTGGAAACACAATGATGAATGCTTACATATTGCTCAAATCCGACTGGGAGCCGAAGATAGAAGATTCAGAAGATCTCGGTTTTGTTGAAATCTAGATAGCTATAACCTTCGATTTTGAATACTATGGTTACTTAATTCCATTAAACCTCTCCACTTAGGGGTTTTGGGGTTTTGGGGTTTTGGGGTTTTGGGG